ATGCCCTTATTAGTTTCTTCGTCTTCTGGGATACCGATTATTCGGATGTTTGAATGTTGAATGGAATCCAGTATTTCTCGTATATTGCAATTTTATTTTTGGTTATTTTCTCTATTTTTTTGGTTATTTTTTCCTAGGTCAGATGTTTTGTACTTCTTCATCTCCTGTAGTTCATTGTCTCTTTTCCCTTGCATCTTCTGGAGTTTATTGTCTCTTTTCTCTTGCATCTCATTAAGTTTTGCCACTATGAATATTCTGAATTATTTATCTGACATTTCCACGAGTTCCACTGTGCTATGTGTGGATGATGAAGAATTGTTATTTTTCCTTGGAGAAGAGATTTTTTTTTGAGAGAATTTTTTTTTTTTTTTTTTTTTTTTGCTATAGAGCACATGCGCTCACCAGAAAGAGAGACAGAGAGACAGAAAGCGAGAAATCACACCCATGGGGGATGGACACCCAGCAATCCCTTCTCCTCCATTCTCCTCTCAGGATCTTGGGCACGCACGCACATGTGCCTGGCATGAGTTTAAGCCACTGGGTCTGGGACTCGATCCATTGTCGACTACATGGGAGTTCAGCGACATAACCATTACGCTAATTGCTGGTCCACTACGTGAGATATTTTCTTGGTTTCTAATATTTCTATTGCCTCTGCTGTGGTTTCTGGTCAACTGATGGATTAAACGTTTCTTCCCTGTAACCTGAACTTTTGTTGCTGGGACTGGGTGTTCTAGATTCTTCCCAGATTCTGGAGTGAATGATTAGAGTGTGCAGTTCCCAAGGCTGTCTCTGGCCTTGGTCTGTACACTTGCTTCTGCCACAAGGGAGCTGGAAGGAATGGTGGGGTGGAAATTGGAAGCAAGAGCCATCATCATTATTATTATTTAATTTGTTACAGGGCACTTGTGAGAGAGGGAGGAAGAGAGAGAGCGAGCACAAGTGAGCTGCCAGGTCTAGGACTTGAGCTCCAGTCAGCCATATGGGAGTCCAGTGCCTTAACTACCATGCCACCTGCTGACTTCTTGAGAACATATTTTAGTTTCTGTGAATTTCTATGACTTGCAATGTTCTTGTTGATGATTTCTCATTTTATTCCATTGTGGTCAGCACAGACACTCAATACCATTTTTAAAAATTTGTTGAGATTCGTTTTGTGGCCTAACATGTGGTCTATCCTAGAAAAGGATCCATGCATTTATAGAAGAATGTGAATTCTGATGTTCTGGAATGAAACATTGTGTAAATGTCTGTTAGGTCTTTTCAGTTTGTGGTATAGTTTAAGTCTAACGTGTCTTTGTTGATTTTCTGTCTAAATAACCTGTCTGATGCTGAGAGTGGGATGAAGTCTCCAACAATCATTGTACTAGAGTTTATTCTCTCTCTTTCGGCCTAGCAGTAACTGTCTTGCGTTTGTCTGCTCTCATGTTGGGGGCATACATTCTCACAACCGATAGTTCTTCTTGATTAGTTTATCACCTTATGATGACCTGTGTTATTTATTTTTACAGCTTTTAAATTAAAGTCTCTATTTTTATGCCAGAGGGCACATTTGCACACACAAATGTGTGTTTGAGAGATAGAAAGCATCCCTGCCAGGGTCTGGTCATGCGCAGTCCAAATTAAAATATATTTGATCTGATATCAGTATAGCTACTCCTGCTCACTTTTGGCTTCATAGATTATCTTTTCCTGTCATTTCACTTGTATTCTATGTGTGTCTTTATAGGTGAGGTGAGCTTCTTGCAGGCAGTATATAGTTGGGTTTTGTTTTCTTATATACTCAGGCAATCTATATATTTCAAATAGGGAACTTAATCCATTTAAATTTAGGTTTTTTTTTTTGAGAGGTTTTTGCCATAGGGCATGTGCACTTGCCAGACAGACAGAGAGAGATAGAGAGACAGAAAGCGAGAAATCACCCCCCCCCGGGGGGATGGCCACGCCACAATCCCTTCTCCTCTGTTCACCTCTCGGGATCCTGGGCACGCACACACACGCGCCCAGTGTGAGTTTTAGTCACCGGGTCCGGGACGTGAACCATGGTTGACTATGTGGGAGTCCAGCGACATAGCCATTACACTAACTGCTGGTCCCTAGGGTTTTTATAGATAGGTTAGAATTTATTCCTTCTATTTTTTTTTAAATTTAATTAATTTTTTTAGCTTTCTGCTATAGGATATGTACATTCTCCAGAGAGAGAGAGAGAGCGAGAGAGAGAGAGAGAGAGAGCGAGAGAGAGAGAGAGAGAGAGCGAGAGAGAGAGAGAGAGAGAGACAGAGAGAGGGAGAGAGAGAGAGAGAGAAATTACCCACCAGGGAGGATGGCTAGGCCATAATCTCTTTTCTTTCATTCTCCTCTCAGGATTTTAGGAATGTATGCATACACTCTGGGCATGTTTTTCAAGCTGCAAGGTCTGGGATTTAAATCACACAGCTGGCCATGTGGGATCCAGTACCTTAACTACTGTATCACTTGCTGATCCACTCCTGTGATTTCGTTAGTGTTTTCTGGTTGTTTTGTGTCCCCCTCCTCCACTTTATTATAGTTACTGTCCTTTTACTCCCAGTTGTAGGGCCCTCTTAAGGATGTCTTCTAAGGCCAGTCTAGTGAAAGTGAAATCCTTCAGTTTTTCCTTGTTTGAGAAAGACTTTATTTCTCCTTCTATTTTGATGAATACAATTTCTTTTTCTATCTTGATGAACATCTCTTCCCATCCTTGGAAATTTTTTTGGCTAGCTCTTATTAAATAAGGTTTCAGTCCCTGTTTGTAATGTCTCCTGTAACTCTCATGGTAAGAATGGTTGTCTGCTCTGTACTATCCCATAAATCTCAAAGGCTGTCTTTATTCTTTTTCATTATTTTTTTTCTGCTTTTTCCCTGACTGGATGCTCTCTAAGGATTTATCTTCAAGGTCTGAGATTCTTCCACTTGCTCTAATCTGTTGTTGAAGTTTTCTATTTTTAACTTTATTATTTCAGTTTGAGAATTTTGGTTTAGTCCTTTTTTTATGATTTCTAACTCTTCTTGTAGGATTCTGTAGAATCATTATTATCATTATTGTAAATTCCCTTTCAGGCATTTCAAGAATTTCTTTATCTTTGGGAACTATCATTTGAGAATTATTTTGTTCCCTTGGAAGTAATAACTACCCCCCCCCTTTTTTTCTTTCTTTCTCCCTTTCATATTTGTTGTGTCCCTATGTTGATTTCTGTACATCTAGTGGGATAGTTGCCTCTTCTCATTTGGGGGTTAACTCTCTAAGTGGAACTTTTTTTTTTTTAATTTTTGAGACTGTGCTATTTAGCATTGACTTGGGTGGGTGGGTGTTTTGGTTTTGAGTAAGCATAGGAGTGTAATCTCCATAGGGTTTCTTCTATTGGATTCACTGACAGTGGTGACCTGTGAATGTCTCAGTGTTCTAGATGTTGTGTGTTTGTGATAGTAGTGGTGCAGTTATGTTGGGTGTGGGGATCACCAAGTGAGTTACTTGGCTGTAGGAAGAGGTAGGGGCTGCAGATGTTGGCCCACAGTCTCTAGGGAACCTGTTGATCCCATAAATGGAATGGGAGCAGACACCCAGGATGACAGGGCAAAAAGTCCTGGCCTGAAGACACTGAAAAGCCATTGCTGGGGGGTGAAACTTGTGCACTGCAACTGTGATGGGTGCCAGGCTCAGTGCTAGTCAGGAGAGGGACTTTCCAAGTCTGCAGGGCTATTCCAGTAGGGAAGGGTCCACGTGCTCATGTTGCAGTGTCTATCATGCTTGGCATCTTTCTTTCATGGATGTCTACAGGTCCTGGAGGTTTCTCACAAAAGGCTGGGGCCCTCTCTCTGGAGCTGCTATGTGATCTGGGTCCAGGGCAAGTTGAAGGCAGTAGGGGCTAAGGCTGGAGAGCTCTCACAGGGGGTGGAAGACAGTGTGCTTATGCCAGCATGTGAGCTAGGCCTAAGGAAAGCCAGGGGTTGTCCTGGCAGAGGCTGAAGGGCCCCACAAAGGGGAAGGGCCATGTGCGGGAGATACAACATGAGCTGAGATCAGCAAGGGGGACCTTGTTTTGCCTATCTGATCCTTGGAGCAGTCTTCCCACTGCACTTGTATAGGTTTTACTCTAGCAGTTGTTCTGTTCTTCAGAGCAGTCCTCTCATTGCACTGGCCTATGTTCTGGAGTATGTAATGCTATGTGGATTTGGATGCCAGCATCATAGCCCTACTGCTCAGTCTAGCTGGCTGCAAACTGCCCATGCAAACATGGTGCGATTTCAGTGGATTCTCAGGACTGTGCAGACTTGCAGGTGGTTGATCATTTGTGCAGGTTTTATCTTGGCAGTTGCTCTGTTCTCAAAATGACATTGCTTTGCAGCAGTTTGGGTCCTGTAGGTTGGGGTTAACCAGGGCAAGCTCCTTTCCTGAAGGTATGCAGCACATGAATCTTAGAAGCTTCCATGGCCCTGACCTCTCAGGCAGCTAAGAATGCTGTTCATGGTGATATGAGAACTTGCTGGGATCTCTTGCCCATCTTTTCCTAGCAAAGGAGAGTTTCTGCTGATTCCAGTCAGTGCGTACTTCTGTTCCCTTTCTGTGGTGTTTCTCTCAGATTCTCATAATTCAGAAAATTTTCAATTTCTGTTAGTAATTTCAAGTGTTCTTCCTTAGAAATTCCAGTCAAATGTGTCTAAGTAATTAGTATTTTATGTCTTGATTGAAAAGGAGACAAGTGCTGGGCACTTTGGCCATCTTGACTACTAAAATTTAATGATTTTAATTGACATTTAAAAATTGTATATGTTTGTGGGGTATGGTGCAATGTTTTGACACATGTATACATTGTGTAATGGTTAGCTCAGAATATCAGCATATCTATCTATCCATCTATATACCCCTTAAACATTTATTATTTTTCATGCTATGGACATTTAAAATATTTTCTTCTAGCTATTTGGAAATATACACATTATTGTTATTGTAGTAACCCTATGGTACACTAGAATACAAAAAAAAAAACCCGAAATGCTTTACAAGTTTGTATGTCCTCCTTGTGCAGGGGCCATGCTAATCTCTATATTGTTCTAATTTTAGTATGTGTGTTGCTGAAGTGAACAACTTGGTGTGAATTTTGGGGGATTTATAATACATTTTGCCAAATGTGTGGGCAAAATGTTGTTAATTATCAAAGTGGTGTGTGTATTTGCCAGAGAGAGACGGAGAGAAGGAGAGGGAGAGAGCATCCCCAATGAGGCATGGCCATACTGCAATGCCTCCTCCAATTCTCCACCCTGTTGGCACTTTAGGCATGCATGTACATTCACGGGGGATGTTTAAGTCGCCAGGGCCAGTATATGAACCACAGTTGATCTGTGGGAGCTGGCTCCCTTAACCAGTAAACTACAATACCAGTCTCCAATTTAGGAATTCTTAGCTAATATTTGTGGGAATACTTTTCAGGCCCACCTGTTTTCTCCTTTTATTTTTAAGTTCTTTTGTTGTAGTCCCACAGGATCCTGAAGCACTGTTAATTTTTTAAAAATAATCTATATTTTGTCTGCTGTCCAGACTGGATAATTTCAATTGTCCCATTTTCTTCTCTTTTATTTTTTATTTTTTTCTTTAGAGAGATTTTTGCTATAGGGCATGTGTGCTCACTGGAGAGACAGAGACAGAAAGCAA